TATAATTGGGTTGATTAGCCTTTTACGGTCTAGTTTCTTGAGTTCTTTATATATTTTGGAGATCAGACCTTTGTCAGTTGCGGGGTTGGTGAAGATCTTCTCCCAGTCAGTGGGTTGCCTTTCTGTCTTAGCAACAGTGTCCTTTGCTTTACAGAAGCTTCTCAGTCTCAGGAGGTCCCATTTATTCAATGAGGCCCTTACTGTCTGTGCTGCTGGGGTTATACGTAGGAAGTGGTCTCCTGTGCCCACGTGTTGTAGAGTACTTCCCACTTTCTCTTCAATCAGGTTCAGTGTGTTTGGACTGATATTGAGGTCTTTCACCCACTTGGACTTGAGTTTTGTGCATGGTGATAGATATGGGTCTATTTTCATTCTTCTACAGATTGACATCCAGTTTTGCCAGCACAATTTGTTGAAGATGCTCTCTTTTTTCCATTGTATACTTTTAGCTCCTTTATCGAAAATCAGGTGTTCATATGTTTGTGGGTTAAAGTCAGGGTCTTCTATTCGATTCCATTGGTCGACTTCTCTGTTTTTATGCCAATACCAAGCTGTTTTCAATACTGTAGCTCTGTAATAGAGTTTGAAGTCAGGGATGGTAATGCCTCCGGACGTTCCTTTATTGTATAAGATTGTTTTGGCTATCCTGGGTTTTTTGTTTTTCCATATAAAGTTGATTATTGTCTTCTCCAGATCTGTGAAGAATTTTGATGGGGATTGCATTGAAGTCATTTCCAATTTTTATTTGTTTTTGTCTTCTGAGACAGGGTTTCTCGGTGTAGTCCTGGCTGTCCTGGAACTGTCTCTGTAGACCAGGCTGGCCCTCAAACTCAGAACTCTGCCTGCATCTACCTCCCACGTGCTGGGATTAATGGCGTGTGCCCCTGTGACCCCGCGTGTTTCTAAGATTTTTAATTGGTCCTTAATGATAGCCAGCCACTTTAATTTCATCATCACCTATTCTGTTTCATGAGCGTTTTTCTTCTTTTCCTCTGGGCCACCACTCACTAATGTGATTCCTACTTTCATGTCTGCTTTGTAATTCTCTCTTTGTTGGTCTTCCGAAGTTTAAGCACTTCAGTGTCCTGAGTCCTTTTTTTTTTTTTTAAATCATGAATTCATACATGCAGGCAAAGCCACCCATACACATAAAACCAAATATTAAACTAAGAATTAAGAAATAATAAAATAAAACTAAAATAAAAACTAAGAATTAAGAAATAATAAAACAAGAACATCCTGGACTATTGAAGCGGACCACGCTAACACATACGCTCTCTCAGGCAGAGTTGGAATTAGTTGGAATGTGAGGAACTGCAGAAGTCAGTGGAGCTAAATGGGAGGTGGGTGGATCTAATCAGGGGGTGGCTGTTGTCTGGTGATGAAGGCCACAGAGCCAACAACAGCCTGAGTGAGCTCCTGGCTGGGTCCCTCCAGGTCCCCTGATAGCAGTTCAAACACGGCTGACACCTTGACCAGTGACCTTAGGAGACCCACAGCAAAGGATTCTGCCAGACAGTGAAGCCTTTCTGATCTCTAGAAACTCATGGAATAAATGTGGGTTCTTTCAAAAAGAAAAATCCCTAAACTTCATACTGGTGCCCCGAAGGCTTGGAGGTCACTGTGAGAGGCAGGCTAGGAAGACAAGAGAGACGAAGGGGTGCAAGAAGGGAACAGGAGCCCCCCTGCTCCAGGGTCCGAGTCCAGGGGAGTGGACGGATGTTTAGTGTAAGAGCGCCTGCTTTCTTGCAGAGGACCCGGGTTCAGTTCTCAGCATCCACATGCCCGTTCAGAAGGGTCACCTGTAACTCCAGCTCCCGGAAATCCAGCACCCTTTTCTGACTTCCACAGGCATCCAAACGGAAGTGGTTCCCTGTAGGTGGGTACACACGCGTGTACTCAGCCTCACACATATACAACAAACACATTTGTACAAAGCATCAATCCCAGACGTAACTCAGGGCTGCTCTCTTTTTCTTTTCTTTTGGTTTTTCAAGACAGGGTTTCTCTGTGTAACCCTGGCTCTCCTGGGACTCACTCTTTAGAACCGTGGTGGTGCATACCTTTTTAAGACCAGCCCTTGGGTTCAGTCTATATTTTATTTATATGTACATTTCTGTGCAGGTGCCCATGGAAGCCAGAACAGGGTGTAAAATTTGGAACTCACAGAGACCCGCCTGTTCCTGCCTCTCGAGTGCTGGAATTAAAGGTGTGGGTCACCACCTCCTGGTATTTTTTGTTGTTTTTGAGACAGGGTTTCTCTGTGTAGCCATGGCTGTCCTAGAACTCGCTCTGTAGACCAGGCTGGCCTCGAACTCAGAGATCCGCCTGCCTCAACCACCCGGAAGGTGCTGGGATTAAAGATCTGTACCACCACGTTAGGTTTAAAATGCAAAACCTTCTGCAAAAACAACACTCACTGGCGACTGATGATGTTATGGCTAGTTCGAGAAAACAAGGAAGCCTGTTTTCCCAGAATTGACCACAAGAGGGCGCCATATGCCCCAGACAGAGTCACCATTCCCTCTCCAAGTTTCCAGGAGTCACTCCTCTTAGTAGATAAAGGCACTCTAGACCCCTCACCCCTTCCCGTCTGGAAGGAGCTTGGGTCCTGGGCACTATTCTCCCGGGGCTGCCCATTCTGTTTCCTTCCTTCCCAGGACAGAGGCCTGTGTCACGGCCTTAGAGATGCTTATGAAATTGTTCCAGCTTAAGGGACAAGTATGAGGGGTGGCCTCAGTTACACGGGCTGAATGCTGAGTTCCGCATCTATTGAGTGCAAGCTGGGATCACCTTCCCTGGCTGCTTTTGGAGGGTGGATGGGCACCGGGCACACCACGCACATGGAAGATTCTGAGTGCGCTGAGGTGAATACAGACCCTTAAACGAATGGGCCATGGTGGTGCCCGCCTGCTGGGGCTGCAGACCCCGGGCCCTTTGATTTTCTTTGCCTGCCTCAGACCCTTTGCCTGCTGGAGTGAACTGAGCAAAACACCAGTGCCTGCAGCTGCTCTGAGCAGGAGACCCTGACGGCAGGGGAATGGGTTCTGGTGAGGCCTGCAGCTGAAAGATCCCGAGAGCAGGGGCGTGGCTAGCAGTTAAAGATCCTTATATAAGCTTTCCCGGCGCACAATAAAGTCGGCATTCTTGTATCAAGGATGACCCGTGTTCCCATGTGTCTCTGTCTGTGTGTGCGTGTTTTTAAGTCTCCAGCTTAGTTCCCGGCCCGCGTACCCATCCCATAGTGCAGGCGCTACACCCGCCTTCAATCCCTACACTTGGGAGGCAGAGACTGGCAGATCTCTGTGAGTCTGAGGCCACTCTGGTTTACAGAGTGAGTTCTGGGACAACCAGGGCTCCATAGAGAAACTTTGTCTCACCTCCACCTGCCCTTCCCCCAAACCTAAGCAATAAAGGGGCTACCTCTGGGGCCCTGCTTGTGGTTCTTCCTGCCCACCTCTTTACCTAGAGACCCTGCAAATCTGAGTCACAGAATGTGACTGTGACCTGCAGGCAGTTAGCTGGTACTCAGTGGAAGGAAGCTCTTTCAGAAGGAGCGACAAGGATAAAGCCTGTGATCCTTGAGAAGATTGACATTCAGCTGGATACTGTTTCAAAGCTGAAAAGCAGGAAGTGTATGGCAGGAGGTGCCCTTGGCCCTTCTCTCCTGCTCTGTTAGGTACTTAATGACTATGGCCCAAGTGACCCAGAGCCTCAGACCCCTCTGTAGAAAGGCTCTCAGGCCTTTCTCTCAGAAGAGCAGTGTAGATGGCCCCTTGGTACCTGGGAATGACCATGTCAAAGGGCTTTCTATAGTCTAAATATGGAGGTTTGGGGGGAATCCCACGAGGCGTGTGACCATCTTGAGTGTCCCAGCACCTAACGTGGTGGTACACACCTTTAAGTTCCGCCCTTGGTTTGGTCAGATTTTATTTATATTTATATTTCTGTGCACAGGTGCCCATGGAAGGCAGAAGAGAGTGTAGAATCTCCTGGAGTCACGTTGCCTATCTCCCAACATGGGTTCTGGGAACTGAAACCATGTTCTCTGGAACATCAAGTACTTTATTCTATTTATTTATTTATAGGGTTTTTCAAGACAGGGTTTCTCTGTAGCTTTGGAACTAGCTCTTTAGACCAGGCTGGCCTTGAACTCACCACAGAGTTCCATCTGTCTCTGCCTCCTGAGTGCTGGATTAAAGGTGTGCACCACCACCACCAGGCTTAAATACTTTTTTTAAAATTTTATGTACATTTGGTGTTTTACTTGCATGAATATCTGTGTGAAGGTGTCAGATCCTAGAGTTACAGACATGTGGGTGCTGGGAACTGAACCCAGGTCCTTCGGAAGAGCAGTCAGTGCTCTTAACTACTAAACCATCTTTCCAGCCCCAACAACAAGTACTCTTAACCACTGAGCCATTTCTGCAACATAACCCCAGCCCTTGGAGGCCGAAGCAAAAATAATTGCAAGTTCAAGGCCAGCCTGGGATGCTGATGGAAGTATGTATAGTGAGACCCTACCTAAATAAAATAAAATAAAAATAAAACCATAGACACAAACACTGCCTCATCTGTTAGCTTTGTAACCTAGGGACAATTGAAGTGTGCCATTGCAGAGCTGGGTTGATGGCCTGAGGTCACTCAGAATCACACACCTGTGTGATGTGTGAACAGTTAATTTCAGACTGTTTTCTGGAATGAAAGGACAGGGACTGCTATGTGTCAGACCCCCAACTCCTCTGTGGTCCTTGCTTAATTTAAATTTAAGGGTCCCTGTCCCCCCACAAGCCTCTACATAGACATACTTGGAGCTGTAGCCTGGAAGCAGCCCAAGAACAGCAGGAACGTGATGGGCAGTCCAGATGTGGTCCCGGGATGCTGTCTGTATCGGCCTCTGGAAGTAATTGGCAAGTGGGGGCACTTGGGGGGTCACAGCAGTGAATACTGGGGCATTCTTCCTCACCCCCACACTCCCAGGAAGACTCAGGACACAAAGCAAAGGTCTAGCACTTTATTATGCTTGAAGAACACAAAGAGGAAGGCTTGAGGTTCGTCCCCAGTGGGAAAGCCACTGGGGGCAGCCCGAGGAGGCCAGGCCCAATGGTGGGGCACAGTATGATGGAGGGACTGTAAGCGTTGGCTGAATCCTACTGTCACCACTTCTGAGTGTGGCCCCAGGGTGTCTTAACCTCTGGTAGCCCTGGTTTCCTTGTGTGCTATGTCACTGGGTGGCGAGAGGACCGGGCCAGGATGTGTGTAACTGTGGGGTCAGCAACAGGTTCAGGGTATGAGCAGGAGGGCGTCTCTCTTCAGAAATGTCTTCTGGATGCCTGCTTAGAGCATAGCTTGGTGTGCCCCGGGGAGCTACCTGGTCTTGAGAGATATGATGCTATGCCCAAAAATGCGGGCTGTGGAGGGATGGCAGTTGGCTACCTCTACCAACTCACCAACCGTCCTTTTAACCAGGGACAGTTAAAGGAGAGTTCTAAGGTGTGTGTGTGTGTGTGTGTACACACCAATGTGTGCACAGGACTAGTGTCCTCTGTCACTCTCTACCTTGTGGTTTTGAGATATTGTTTCTCACTAAACCTGGAGCTATCAATTCTGGCCAGATGGGCTGACTGCAGAACTCCAGGGTCCTCTTGTCTCTCCTCTTCATCCTCTAGGACCAGGATTATAAATGTGACCCCACATCTGGCTTTCTGCATAGGCGCTGGACATCTGCACCCAGCACTTGCCTGACTGGGCCATTCCCCTCACTCCCAAAGTTCTAGTTTTTTCCTTCACATTTATCTTAATTATGATTGTGCCAGTTTGCTGTGCACAGCACGGCACGCACGTGGATGTCAGAGGAGTTTGCTGTGCACAGCACGGCACGCACGTGGATGTCAGAGGAGTTTGCTGCGCACAGCATGGCACACACGTGGAGGTCAGAGGGCAGTTCAGGAGTCAGTTTTCTCCTCCTGTCACGTGGGTGTTTTGGTTTGATTTGGGTGACAAGTGCCTTTACTGATGAGCCATCTCCTCTCCCCAGCCCAAGTTCTAGTTCTATACCTAAACATCATCAAGGATTTGGACATTCAGCATCCCATAATGCACCTGGAGGGGGGACGGTCTTTCTATTTTTAAATTTTTGTACTTTTTGCTTCACCTTCCTTCCCTCAGGAGGGTCTCATGAAAGCCCAGACTGGTCTCACACTCCCTGTTTAGCCAGGGATGGCTGTAGCCTTCTGATCCTCCTGTCTCTACCTGCCATGTGCCGGGATTATGGACCTGATTTGTGTGAGTGTCAGGCACGGAACCCAGGGATTCACGCACTCCAGGCAGGCACTCTACCCACTGAACTATATTCTGGCTCTGTATTATTTTTTTGAAACAGGATCTCACTATGAAGAGGCATGGAATACCATGTGACTCTGGCTGTCCTGAAACTCAACTGTGTAGACCTGGCTGGCCTCAAACTAGATTTTTTTTTAAAGCACAACAGAGATTCATTAAGGAAAAACGAGAAAGAACTCCCAAGAGTTAGGGGGCAGGGAGCTAAAAGAGAGGATTACTTGGCCCTACTTTCTCTTTCGGCTTAGATGTTCAATGCTAGGGGCCATGGAACTTATAAACCTATCCTGGCTCTGCTTTTTGCTGTCTGGGTGAACTTGCCCTGGTTTGGACCTAAAGAAAAGCCAACTGTAAGCCGCAGAAGCATCTATGGCAAGGGATAAATAAGGCTTAAGCATGTCTGTGGCTCAAAAGTGACTGGGCAGAAAGAATTTTGGCAGGAGTGTGTACAAGCCGGAAGGTAGGCAGCAGAGAGATTCCTGCGCAGTGTATAGGGAAATCAGTGTTCCTGAAGTGAGCAAAAATACCACCAGGGGGCGCTCAAAATCTTGTATTTGCTATCCCCAAAGCTCAGTTTTCTGTGGCTGTTGCACTCCAAACCCGTCAGAGATGAATGGTTTTTCGTTTACCTAACTGATTTAGTTAAATTTTAAAATAAATTTGTGTATGACTTTTTTAATAATGTGGATATGGGCCTGCGGTCCCTCCTTACCATAAGGCCTGGAGGGTCAGAGTGGAGGGACCGCGGCCTCAGAGTCCTGCTCCAACCGCTGGGACAAGTTTCTCAAGAGCGAGGCAGTTCTGAGGTTCCCACATCCAGCCTCCCGGGGGTGTTATGAAATCCGGGCACAGTGAAAAGGAAAGCAATGCAAAGGTCAGAAGGGCTATCCCGAGGCCGCTTACCTCCAGTGTACCGCCTTCTCCTCCCTCATCCCAGAGAGGAAATGCCAGGGTGGGAAGGAGCAGATCCAGCAGCTAAGCCATGACCTCAAGAACAGTATTTCCAGGAATCCCCATCTTAGCATCCAAGGGATTCCTGGGAAAACTGGACCGTGAGGACAAGGTGGGAGAGAGGCCTTCAGCACCCGCCACACCCCTAGGGACCACCAGTTTTCTCTGCGCCCAGCCCTTGCTCTGGCAGCCAGCGTGGGGTGCTGTGACTCCCAGGGTGCAGCGACTCTCAGGGTGCAGCTTCCTGCCCTGGGAAGGGCGACTAGAGTTTGAAGAGGCTTGGAAAGTACCTCCCTTGGGGTCAAGGAAGCCTGCTGATGTTCATGAGAATCGATCAGAGAACCAGAGAGCGTCTGGGACCAGTCCCTTCCCCCCCACTGCCATAGGTCAAGAGGGGGAATTTAAACCAGTTTGGGTAAAGTCAGTTCCCAGGCTCTGGCAACTTTCTCCCGGTTGACCTCCAGCAGGTCCCTTAAACTCTGAGCCTTGGTTGTAAAGGGACATCAGATAGGATCTACTGGGTGAGGGGCCAGGGTGAAGAAAGCGAGGCCATGGGACTCTTAGACCTGTGTGTGGTTCTGCCTTTGTTACTATAGCAGGAGTAAACAAGACCAGAGTCGGGTTGTTCTGTTTTCCAACTCTCTTGCTCCAGGTCCCATAGTCTCGCAGTGGATAAGAAGGTAGACCCAGCTCATATATCTGTATGGGACCTAGGGCCAGTTACTTAACTAAGACTTAGTTTTCTCTTCTGTGCTGTGGGTCGCCTTCCTCTGACCAGGTGCGGGAGGTTAAATGCCAATGGGCGTATCCCATTTGTATCGTCTTTGCTGCCCCCATGCTTCTCGGAAGCCTCTGGGACAGGGTCCACATTTGTGAAATGCCTGGGCTGCTTTAGGCAATAGCACGGAGCCAGGGTTAGAGGCCCGAACTGTGAAGACCGTGACTCCACGCCTAGCAGGGATGCGCAACATTTTGACATTGCAACATGACAGCGTCAGCCAGGGCCCTGGGCGGCTAACTCCAGGATGGAAGAGTGGTTAGGGGTTGTCTGGTGACCTAGAGAGATGAATGGGGTTCAGCCTAGGATCACTTAGGGTGGGGAACTGTGTCTGCAGTGTTGAGAAGGATTCTGAGGGTGTGTCGGAACCCTCCCAGAATGGATAGATGCCTTGATTTGTTAGCAGTGTCTTCTGTGGGCTCAGGAAGAGAAAGTGGAGGCAGGTGTCAGTACTGGTCCCCACCGAATGGGCCAGTGCCTACTGTTACAGAGCAGTCGGTGCTGTCGCGGCTTTACCTCAGGAGCATCACTACGGACTGCTGGGGTGGAGTCTAGGGACAACCTGTTGGACCCGCTACCCCACCGTGTCAACACTTACCAAGTCCCGGAGACGGCTGCAGAACAACTTCTCCCTTCCTGAGCTACAGTGCTTCATCTCAGACTCCCAACTGACCAGAGATGCAGCACTGCACCTCAGGCTGAGAGACAGGCGCTCCGTGCGAGCTCGGGCTGTGGCCTTCTTCCTGGGCAGGAGGAGAAGTGTGAGCCTGCGTCGTGGTCTGCCTCCCACCCTGCTCTTCCCTTGCCCTCTGCGATTGGAAATTCCACCTTCCTTTCCTTTTCTTTTTAAGTTAGCTTTCTTGAGGTTGAGCCAATCCATTTAAAGTGTGCAATTAGTTTTTTTTTTTTCTCTGCAGTGCTGGGAATGGAACCCTGTGCCTTGCACACTCCTCTGTGTCCGCTTACCTCCTGGTTTCTTGCTCTTGTTCCCCGCCCATCTCTGTATGCATTCTGGGCAAAGGATTACTTGTGAGAAACCATTCTCACTCCTTTAGACCCCGGGACACCTCCTTCATGTTCTTGTCCACCCTGTGAACTCTGTTTCTACCCAACTCTTGAGGTAGAATTCCTACACGAGGAAAGGGAGCTGGCTGGATTTCCTCAGCTCCCAAATCAGGGCCGTGTTGAACACTGCTTGAGTTGCAAACCACCTCATTCTCTCTCTGGGCCATCCCCACTTACCTCTGCAGTTCTCTGAGGCCAGGGCTCCTATGTTATAATGTGGGGTCCCTAGAAACTGCTGAAGACTTGCACGCGACAACAGACATATCAGACATGTGGTGGTGGCTGACTGAGTGGCCACGTGGAGAATTCATTTTCTTCTATGGGCGTGGCTTGTGTGGGAACTTCCAGGTGAGCAGGGCACCCCAACCCCAAACCATCCACTCACCCTGCTCTTGATAAGATCCCAGGGTCCCCGGAAGATTTTTGCTTCATGGTGACTGTGGTGGCCTTGATGCTGGAAGACACACACCTTCAGGGTTGTCTGTAGGTAGCTTTTCCTCAGGGCTGGGAAAGAACAGAAAAGAAAGTTTGCCTCCCTTTTAGAAACCCCATAGCTCCTAGGCCTCCAACAGGGATCTAGCAGCAACCCCAGTTGGAGATGGGGTGCGGGAGCAGTGGGAAAAATGTTCTTCGATTTGCTGTTAAGGCCAGGATACCTTTGTCCTCAGGCGTCCCCAGCCAATCCAACTTCTTTCTGTCTGGAATTGTCAGAAACTTTCCACGGCCCTCTTACCAGGAGATTTGAACACAAGACTATCTTGGGAGTCAGAACACCGTGTTCTCTCTACTCTGTTCCCTACAGCTCCTACAGACCCTGGGAGAGGCATCACTGAACCTGACCAAGGGACAATCCAGTAGGTAGCTGGTGGGATCAGGGAGGTGGCTGGATACAGCCCTGCTGGGCCACACCGAGTCCCTGCCTTCCCAGGGTACAACTGTGCCCAAAGTCCTTTGGCCTATACTTTCTTTGCTTTCTGAGGGCAGCAGATGGAGTGGGTGATCGGGGGAGTCATTTGGTGACACACCATTTGGGTTGTCCCCTGCCACCCTGTCTGCCTTCCTCTCCTCCTTATCCTCCGTTCTTTTGTTTCTTTCTTTTCCTTTTTTCTTTCCAGAAACAGAGACCTATGTAGATCAGGCTAGCTCAAACTCATTCAGTGTGTAGAACTCCTGATCCTCCTGCCTCCACTTCGGGAATGCTGAGATTGCAGGCCTGTGTCACAATGCCCGGCAGCCTGGGTTCCTAAGCGTGGGGAAGAAAGCCTGGCTTGGGGCCTGGCAAGCCACAGAAGAGGCGACATTTTGTAGTACTGAGGCTGCGCTCTCACACCATGGTTTTCAGCTGCAGTTAGTGTCAATTCCCCGTCTATAACAAGTATTCCTACTACGGTATGTGAAAAGATTCACCTTACACCCTCAAATGCAACTGCAGGCAAAAGTGACAAACAGGACATCTGTTGGTTAGGTCTGGGGCAGGATGCAGAGCCAGTTCCACCTTCTGGACAGTTGGGGCTGGAAGAGATCACCTTGGCTAGAGGACCAGGAGTGGAGGCAGGGGACAGGCATTTTAGACTTGTCGATACGTGTTCAGAAAAGGGAACTGAGAGCCACTGACATCCCACCTTGGGATAAAGGAGAGCACAGCAAAAGTTCTGTATATTCGGGCTGGGCTACAGGATCTGGACAGAAGGCGGTCCATCTTTCTTAAGGAGAAGTAAATGGCCGGATGGTACTGAGATGCAGGTGTTCAGCCAGGAAGGGTCTTTGCCTCGTCTTCCTTGTCCCATCCTTGGATAAAGACTGTCTAGTTCTGGCCCTGTGATTCTAGAATCACCAAGCTGGTGAACATTTAACTGCACACATCCCCATAGGTCTCCAAAGTTCCAGAGAAATACAATTTTCCCCTGGGGTAAGAGTACAAGTCACCATACTGGGCTTCTTAGTTCAGAGCAGCTGGGCCTGGCCCCTCACCTTAACCTCCATGCGGAAGGTCTCAGTTTCTTAGTCCTTTGGGTTTGGGACAGGGTCTCATCGTTGTACTCGCTCATTCAGCAGACCCAGGCAGCACTGCTTTAGTGTGCTCAAGAATTATGCCCATGCACTTGGCCTCAATACTGTCGGTGCCCTAGGGCACCGAAGGCTGAGCAGGAGGAAAGCACCTGGGCAGGGCATGGGGGCAGACTCAGCAGAACTCCGGAGAGCCTGTGAGAGGACTGCCAAGAGCTTGTGGCCAGGGAGGTCCCTTCCTCCACCCCCTGAGTAGCTCAGAAGGCCTCCTAGACTGGGATGGCTGGGAGGAGCAGCGGGACAGGAAGGTGAACCTTCTGGCTCTCTGACCCCGGAAACATACATGTACATGTGCTGGGCTGGTAGGCAGAGCTCATCTGGACCCCTGCCTCCCTCAAGTGGGGCTTCACTGAGAAAGAGGGATGTAGCCCAAGAAAGGCTCCTTCGCCCCGTGGTGCTGTCGGAATACAGGAGAGCTTGGGGATCCAGGCTCTGTCTCCAGCCAGCACAGTTATTTCCCATTGAGCCCCCTTATCTCTGGCGCTCTGAGACTTGGTTCCCCATTCTGTTAAAGGGGTGGTTGAAGCAGGCGGACTCCGGATCTTACCTTGCACTTGGCGTTGGCGCTCGGCATCTCGGAGGCCTGCTGCAGGGGGTGTCCCACTTTTTCTCCTTTTCCTACGTCTTCAGAAAATGTCTCCAGGCTAGGGGAATCTCTGGCTTCTGTCTGTTGGGAAGCTCCTGGGAGGGGGGGGGTGAGAGGAGGGGAGGCTGAAGGAGAAAATAAACAGTGCTTGTCTGGATAGTCTCAGGCCCAGGCAGGACGGACACTCCGTGGCTCCTGCCCTTATATGGCAAGGCTGCTCGGAGCTAGGAACCCTGCCTGTCATTCCTCACCCCACTCACCACTCAAGAGGACTCAGAGCCACCACTGGTCACCTGGGCCGCTGCTAAGAAGGCAGGCAAGGCCCAGCACACATCCCGAGAATCATCTATGCGAACTGAGCAGCCATCTTGGCCTCTGATTGGAGTAGCAGGTGGGAGGGCTGATAACTGGCTTGAAGGGAACAGCCTGGGCCAAACTTAACTCCCATCTCACAGAGACCTCTCCTTCTCGGGACCTCTGTTTGTCTCCGTATAAAATGACGGCATGGAGGAGGAGAACTCCATCAGCCCCATGGGATGAGAGCCATTGCTCCCCCATTTTGCAGAAGGGAAAACGGGCCCAGAGAGGCTAAGACCAGTTATGCAACTGAACGGGAAATGAGGTAGGATTTAACTCAGGTCTGTCTGGTATCAGGGCCTGGAATCTGACATCGGGGTCCTGAGAGGGCTGATTGCATTGACGCAGCATACAGGGACAAATTTAGCCGTCACACGTGCTACGCAGGAAGTTGGTTGTGCTGGAGGTGTGCCCCTGGGAAACAAGGTCTGCTATAATGCTCCCCAACACAGCCTAAGGGGACCAGGTCCGTCAGACAGGGGCAATGTGCTGTTTACTGGCTGTCCTCGGCATATGACACAGGACCTGGTACAGGTTAGGGCCTCCGAGGAGGGACCTGTGGAAGTATTGAATGAATAAGCCTTGCTGGTCACAGCTGTGCCCTGGTCACAATTCCAGCTCTGCAGCCTGTTCTGAGGATCAGTTGAAGTGATGGGTAAGAAAGCAAGGAAGCCAGGCAGAGGTGGCGCACGCCTGTAATCCGAGCCCTCGGGAGGCAGAGGCAGGCGGATCTCTGTGAGTTCGAGGCCAGCCTGGTCTACAAGAGCTAGTTCCAGGACAGCTAGGGCTGTGACACAGAGAAACCCTGTCTCAAAAAAAACAAAAACAAAAAAGAAAGAAAGGAGGAAAGCACGGAGTCGGCTTTGCTCCTCCGCTCGCAGGTCCCTCTGCCCTCTAAAGCGGCCTCCAGCATCTCCTGGTGCTCATGCTTTCTCAGCTGTTTCCCCGCAGTCCAACTGTGGGACCGAGGGGACAGATGTGCTCAGGACCCAGGCCCTGAACTCTGCTTGGAACCTCAGGCTGGGCCCAAGTCCCAGACCAGCAGCAGTGACCGTGGGAGAGGCTGCAGAGGGGAGCCCAAGGGGGTGGAGGAGTGGGCTGCTGGGAACGGCTCAGAAATGTGCCTCACACGAGCACGACATCCTGTGTGCTCTCAGGCCGGCCCTGGAACCTCCCTCACCCCATCCATCATCCTGGCATCTTCTCTGAAGGCTCCTTCCTGGGGCTGGGTGGGGGAGGGGGTGGGGGCTCAGGGCTGACTGTCCCCTTGCCAGAGAGAGTGCAGCTGGCCATTCTACGGGCCTGGTTAATGTCCGGCCCTGGAAGGTTGCGGGCGGAAGGAGGCGTCTGCAGCCTCCTAATCCAATTTGTTTACAACAGTCTCTGCAGCTCATTTGCTCACAAGTGAAGAGTGGGTGTGTGCTGTGTGCTGTGTTGGGGTGCACGTTCGCACACATGTGGAGGCTACACGGGGTGAACAGGTGGGCTGTGTTACACAAGCCTTGTCTCCTATCCATGGAATAGTCCCTTTCTGCTGCCCTGCCTCCCCTCTTTCCCATCTTTCATCTCCAGTTCTTCCTGTTTATTCCAGCCCTGATAGATCCGCACCAGACTCCTCTATGCACGGCCTGACCTTGCGGTGCAGAACTCCGCATACTCAGACAGGGCTCAATAATCACCTCCATCCCTGGGAGCTGCTGTTATCAATAACATAGTCCTCGCCCAGAGCCCCAGGATCCCAGGTACCCCTCCTACCACGCTCTTCCATCTCTAAGGAAGATTACTGTTGGGTGTGCATCTTCTTCAAGCCAAGCTGACTTCCTGTTGCAGGTGGAAGAGAATGGAGTGGGATGGGAAGGGGTCTCACACTGTTGGGGGTCCCTCGTCTTTGCTTCCATTAATCCACCTCCATTCCAGCCTCCAACACTGCTGAAAGGCTGCCCCATGGCATACTCGTTGAGATTCCCAGCATTCTCTCTGAGTTTCCGAAGCATGGGGATGGGGGGCTTGTCTGAGGGTTGCAGGCTATTCCTGGAGTTCCCTGAGTTGGGGTGTATGTGGGGAACATGGAACAGAACACTTACAGATCTGGGAGCAGGTGGCCACCGCTGTCCGTTTTTCTGGTTCTCGGGAGGATTTCTCTCTGGGGCTCCTCATTCTCCAGCGTAGTGGAGGACTTGACTAGCCATCACTCTCGCCTGAAAAGAACAAAAGGTCTGGCTCTTCAGAAGTATTCTGGGCCACTCTGTAACCAGAGTGCTGAACCCCAAGAGCCTGCACCTGATATTGCTTTCCGAGAGACTGAGAGAGAGGGCCTGGGCCACTCTGAGCCCAGCCTTGGGCTGAATTGCTGAGGTTTGTCAAGCCTCATGGAGTTGTCCTTCGGGTCCTACATGGCCAGGATCCCTGCTGCGCCCACCTTGCTTTCAAAGGGAAACTCTAAGCCCTTTGAGAGAGATCACCTTCCCTCCTAATGCAGCTGGACCGGTCAGCAAAAGTTCTGCTCTCCAAGGGCATTGCCCAGAGACAATGATGGCCAGTGGTCCCTCCCATCTCTCATATCACAAGTGGGCTGTGCTGGAGAAGGCCACAACCTGGGGTAACTTGGTGACAGAGACTGTACCTTCTTCCAGTAACACAAGGTTCTCGGCCTTGTAGAATAGCCTTGGAACGGTACAGCAACTGCTGAGGTGGGAGGGGACTGAACAAGGCCTTACAGCTTGCTCACGGCAATCTTGACTGACCAGTGTTCAAGGCAGACCAGGAGCCAGGCTCAGCTGGCTATCCCCTGAGCTTGGATGACCATAAAGCAAAGTTCATGTGGTCATTGCCAAAGCCCGCGCCTTCTCCCAGGGGACAAGACACAGCTGTTCTCTTGGGAGAGACGGTCTACCTTAGCTTTCTTTTGTAGCTCCCTCCCACACACGGGTTCCACAGCTCTTGATTCCAGGGCCCAGTTACCACTTTAAGCTTGGACAGAATATGGGAGAGGTGGGCCCACCTTTTGAATCTCATCCCTACCCCTTCCCAGCTGTATCTGAGGGTCCTCGTGTTCACCTGGATTCTGACCTCACATCCTTGCTTTAGACAGTCAGGGGCAGCGGATAGCAAGCACAGTTCTAGGCACATGGCAAGCCAAGACTAAATGGCGGAGGTTTCTATTCGTTAGCATGGTAAGTGCAGGGGTGGGGTGGGAGGGTGACATTTGGAGGTGTGGATGCCGACAGCAGGAGCCACCCCTGCCTGGCCTCTCCTCATGTTCCTTTCTGTACAGCTTTCCTTGGCTTCTGTTCCCAGATGCCCTCAGCCCCTTGTCACCCTGTAAAGTTCACCAACCTCACACGCTCCCTACTTCCTCCCCAGGGAATGGTGTTCTGGGACTCTTGAGCAAGCCCTGGGAATGCAGCATGAGGTGAAAACCAGCAACGCAGGGAAGAGAGAAGAGGGAAGAGAAGGGATCTCCTGGCTCCTCTGGAACCCCAAACTTTGCCTGCAGAAGTAGCTCAGATGCTGGGGGTGAGAAGAAGGCCTAAACACCTCGATCCCTAATTTCCAACAAGGGCAAAAAAAAAAAAAGTGGATTTCTGCCCAGCTTCCCTTGGTGTCTCCAAGCAAGATGGGGGAGAAGGGCTGGGAGCTCTTGATGCGCCTCCCCCTTGCTAAGAATGTTTGCCCAGTTCTCATTAGGGGCCTTCTGATGGAATTTTACCAATGAAGAGACCAAGGATCTCAAGGATCACAGCACCCCCTCAAGGTCACAGTCATACAGCTCATTAGTCTAGGAGTCCCAGTGGGGCCCATGCAATCCAGCACGCACCGTCCTCGCTCCCCTGGAGCTCAGACCGTCCTTGTCTTGGAGGGAAGGAGGCTGAGAAGAGGGAAAGCTGTTTTAGTATGAGCAGACGTCATCTGGACCCTGGCAAGGACACCAGATACCGGGAGCAACGGTTTTCTTGTGGGTGTAGCTGTCCTTCCTGTGCCATCTCTCTCGTTCGTTGAGTATTTGTTTTAAACAAGCAAAACCCCATTGCCGTTATAAAAGCCTCGCTTCTGTCCTGTTTGCCTTTTTTGGGTTTGTGTATATGTTAGTGTGTTCCCGTGTGTGGGTGTCTGTGGTGGTCTGATGGTCACAAAGGAGGGGAAAGGGGACAGGGCTCTGGTGCAAACGGACATCTCCATGTTGGGTTAGGAATGCATGGGCATATTATCAGTGAATGTAAAGACCAGAGATTGACATTAGGTGTCTTGTATAGTTCTCTAACATTTTTTTAAAGAAATATTTAAGTATGTCTCTCTCTGTGCGTAAGTACAGTGCTCTCAGAGGGTACAAGGTGTTGGAGCCCCTGGGACTGAAGTTGCAGATGGTTGTGAGCCACCATATGGATGCTGGGATTTGAACCCAGGTCCTCTGCAAGGGCCGTGTTCTTAACCACTGGGCCATCTCCCTACTTACCATCTAGCAGGATTTAGGGATCCTTTCATCTTGGCCTCCTCAGCACTGGGATTATAGGTGCTATCAGAGTTCCTGGCTTTTACATGGTGCTGGGATCTAAATCCAGGTAGATCTTCTTGCATGGTGAGCGCTTTACCAGCTGTCCGTCCCCCTCCCATCCTGCCGGTCTTCTCTGCTTTGTAAAGAACAGGGACTCCAGGGCTGCAGGGCTTTGTAGGAATGGGCACTGGGCTTGTTTTCTGGATAACAGACACTGGTTTCTTCTGGACCATTGAGGGCAAAAAGATTGGCAGGCGCCTGCATATATAACCCCCACAGATCATGTGCGTGGGGTCTTCCCCTCTCTGCGTGTCAGGAGCCACATGCGCAGGACATGGTGAGAGAGGAAGGGACTTCCTGATGACAGGACTCTCCCAATTCACCCCATCCCCATCTCCCTTTCCTTGCTGCTGCAGTAGGACCTGAAATCTTGGTGCATCCTGGTCTCACGCCCTTGTTCGGATGAGAACACTGGGGCGCAGAGAGGCGAAGCAAGGGATGCAAAAGGAATGCTTGAAGTCAGCTGACATCCAGCTAAGGTCCTGACCTCATCTATTGACTGAAAGATGTCATTGGTCGACACAGGGGGCCTCTGGGAGGAGAGTGGGGGAGAAGAAGAGGGCCTTAAGTTCCCTGGCTTTGAAGATGGAATAATCATGACTTCCTTCTCCAAATAGCTTTTGGCCCTTCCTAGAAGCCAGATGGCGGATGTTTGGAATGTATGTTGTAAATACTGTTTCAGGAGGGGGTGGGGGACAGATGCGTCACTTTCTCCAGTAACCAGAAAGGAGATCTGAAGGAGGGCAAGAGTAGGGAAGCTGGCTGTGAAAGGATTTGGGGAGAGGAGAGGAGACGTGTGTATGTGTGTGGTGTGTGTGTGTCCACATGCTCATGTGGTGGTGGTGGCGTGTGTGTGTGTGTGGTGGCATGTGTGTGTATGTGCATGTGTGTGGTGGTGTGTATGCGTGTGTGAAGTGTGTATGTGTGCGCACGTGCGTGTAGTGATGTGTGTATGCATGCACGCGTGTGTGGTAGTGTGTGTATGTGTGTGTGTGGTGGCATGTGTGTGTATGTGCATGTGTGTGTGCGTGCATGCGTGTGTGGTAGTGTGTGTGTATGTGTGTGTGTGGTGGCATGTGTGTGTATGTGCATGTGTGTGTGCGTGCATGCGTGTGTGGTAGTGTGTGTGTGTGTGTGTGTGTGGTGGCATGTGTGTGTATGTGCATGTGTGTGTGCGTGCATGCGTGTGTGGTAGTGTGTGTGTGTATGTGTGTGTGTGACGGCCACAAACGAGGATAAAGGGACGCGAGACAGCAGCAGCTGGGGAAGGGGCTGTGGTGCAAAGGGACAACTCCATCTTGGGTTAGGAATAAATCCTACATCTAAAAATAACTCAGCCTTTCCCCCAGCCGGGCTGAGAAAGGCACACTTGCCCTTTTATGGTAAGAAAAGCATCTCAGAGGGAAGCTGGGCTGGAGCCTACAGCTCTGGATGGAGCCCAGCCGTGGGGTCTAGGGTGGGATGGGGCTGGTAGGGGTCCAACCTGATGGGATGTCCTGGCCTGAGTCCCCCACTGTCTGTGAAGGAAGGGCTGAGGTGAGGGCAGCAGGGTCCACCTGGGAAAGTCTGTGGATCTGCTGGATGCTAGTATTAGGTCCTAAGAAAGCTATCGTCTGCTTGATATTGGTCTTGGGTCCTGATGCCTCTAGTTCATACCAGGATGGCTCTTGTGCCCATTATCCTGAAAAGCACTGTAGACCACGAAAGGGCACTGGCTTGGGAGTCAGTCCTCTTCCAGTTTTAACTCGCTTTGCCGCCTTGAATGCTGTGCTGACTTTTTTTGGTCTTAACTTCCTTCACTGGGTTAATTTTATTTACTTATTTATCTATTTATTTATTACTTTTGTTTTAAAATTATTTATTTATTTATTTATTTTTCAAGGTAGCATCTCACTGTGTAGCTCTGGCTGTCATAGAACTCACTATGTAGACCAGGCTGGCCTTGAGATCACAGAGATCGACCTGCCTCTCTTCTTCCCAAGTGCTGGGACTAAAGGTCTGAGCCATTATGTCCCAGAGTCCCCTTATCACCTCTAGGGTTTCCTAGTGCAAGGCTCAGGCTCACCCTGGACTCACTATGTACCCCAGGCTAGCTCTGAACTCATAGCGGTCTTCCTTAGGTTTCTGAGTGCTGGATTGCAGGCGTGAGTCACCACGCCACGCTTGCTTCCACGGTTTTTCTCTCTCTGGGAATTTCTTGGCTGGAAAGCAAAGCTTGGGCACAGAGGAATCTGGAGGCTGCTGTTTTCTTCCTGTGGCTCACCCGCTCCCTCTGCCAAGCCTCCCGGGTAAATCTAAGATGAGCGAGGCAGTACATCATGGGGGCGAGGGGGGGTCCATCTGCTTTCCTGGCTCCTCAGATCTAGACCCTGCTGAACACACTGAGGCCTCTCATTTAAGGTCAGTCACACAGAGAGGTAGGCAGAATCAAATAGAACCAAGGGCTTCCCTGTCCTAGCCTTGGTTCCTTTTTCAAGAGGCCACCTCCCATTTGCAGTTCCAGTAGCTTGGGGACCATCTCTAGCCACATAAAGGAACTTAGAGGACAGAACAGCAGGAACTCGCAATAGGTTGCTATTAGCGGACAATGGACCCTGACATGCTCCGGTTGGGTACCCGCCTCTCCTCTGTCCCTGCCTTTGGTAT